AATTATTAAACTACGAAACCATTATTTGTTATTATTTAGTGAATTTTATTTTTAAACAATATGAATTGAATTTTAATTCACCTATTAACTTTTTAATTATTTCTTTACAAAATTAAACGTTTATTAATTTGAATGTTTTAAAAAATAATTTTATTTTTACCTGGCTATTTTTTGACGAATTTGATTGAATTTGAGAAATAAAAACTTTTTTATTTTATTTTTATCAAACAAAAAAAGTTACTTTTATTTAGTTTTTTGCATTGTAGGTTAAAGAAAGATTTTTTTTACAACTTGTGAACAAGCAACAACCAAAAATTCATTTTTTACAAATCAACAACAACACAACGTATTTTTATTTAAAATTATCTTAAATCATTAACATATTTTTAAACTTTCACCTCAGACAGTAAAACATTGATAAATTCAGTTGTGTCAGTATCCTATTTCATTTCAAATTTTAAAACAATCACCCTTATCTGCACACATAAATTTTCCTTGGTTTAGCACTGGGTAGGATCTTAATACGCTGCTATATCAATTGATAATATCTACCAGAATTAATCACCAATGCCCTACAGTAGGCATCTTAGTATTTAATATCCCACCCACGAGGAATATATGTGGCACAAGGCCGACAGTAGGCATCTTATCTGCATACTACACGTGCGATCAGTTAATTTAAAAACATCAGCCTGTTTGAATGAAACTTACTCCATACGAGGGGAATGAGGGTGGTTCGACTTCCTGTGGGTCATCTTAAAAGTCTAAACTGATGGAATTATTAAAGAATGGAGCTCGTCCAAATGTTTTCCCATGGATTATAGGTTTGCGAGTGATGATGCGTTTTTTAGGTACCGCCACACTTCTAAATATTTTCTTTGGAGTTAAATTTTGGTTTAATTTGAGAGATAAAAAAGGCTAAAAACTAAAAAGCTAATCCGTATTAAAAGAAAAATGAATTACCGTAAAAAGTTTCAGGCATTTTTAAAACATTGGCACGTTCACTCATCAAGTCACCATAGATGAAATTGAAAAATAATAGTAATCAAAATTAAAAATCTTTTAAAAATCCAATATTTGTTCTCGAGAAGTATTTCGTGGACATTTAGCAAATTTAAGGATTAATTACTTAAACATTTTTTGAGTAAAATTTACTCGTGAAAATATTGGTGGTTATTACAAAAAGAATATTTTCTCAGATTTTTAAAAATAAAAAAAATATTCATTCTCAAAAAGTAAATACAGTGTAACCCCGATATAAGAGAGTTGGCGGGACCGGAGAAGAAGTCTCTTATATCCGGGTTTCTCTTATATCCGGGTTTGGTCTAACACAGGCTCTAATTTGGGACTGTGTTAATGTATATAAAATAGACCAAACCCGGATATAAGAGACTTCCTCTCCAGTCCCAACAACTCTCTTATATCCGAGTTACACTGTAATGAATAATATGTACTGAAATTTTCATTTAGATTTAAACTGATTTTTGGTAATTTAAAAAAAAATGGTCTGTGGCCTTCAGGTTGTGAAACTTTGAAATTGACATGTAGTAGAGAGGCAGTATAATTTTTTTTTGTGGGGAGCAAGACCCAGCGCCGCCCTGTTGACTTGTACCTCTTCTGATGGTGTAGGTGCCCTTGATCTTCTGTGGTTTATACCATCTTGTCTCCTAGACAATTATTCAATTATTTAATTTGGAGTTGTGTTTCTATAGAATTTTTTTGCGGAAAAATGTGGGGTTCCCCAATTAACTTTTTAAATTAGTTTTCTTCAGTTGTTTCTGTTAAAAGAGACATCTCCGCTAGTTCGCACGGGAGATACAAGAAATCTGAATGTGAAACAAGTCTCGTCTTCTGCAGCAAGGGTTGTGTGTAGTTTTCCTTTATTAGGTGTCTTGAAGGGAGATTTCTTCGCCGATTTCCACGGGAGGAATGAGAAATCTGAGTAAAGCTCTCGACAGCCCTCGTCTTCTGCAGCAAGGCTTCTGTGAAGCCCTCAGAGTTGGGCTTGAAGGTAAAGACCTCTGAAAATGAACAAGGGGAAAGTGGGGGAAAAAAGGTCTTGAATGTAGAGGCCACTGAGGCCGAACAGGGCTTGGTCAGGGCTTTTATGACTTCAATGATTTCCGGTTGTACCCTGCTGATTATTTCCGTTGCTGCTGAATCGAGCAAAGTAAGGAACCCCCCACATGCCACAATAGCCAACAAATGAGATAGTTTCTATATAGGCAGCCACCATTTACTAAGAATTCTAAAAAAAATAACTTACAAAGGGAGGTGCTGGTAACCTACTGTTACTCTATTGAGGGTGTTCTAGCGTACTGTATAGCTGTTTGATATGCAAACTGTTTGGCAACGGACAAGAGAGCCCTTCAAAGGATAATAGATATTTCCCAGAAAATAATCGTGTGCTAGCTGCCCTCCTCGGAGAACATTTCTAATTCTTGTTGTCGCAACAGAGCAGAAAATAAAATGAAAGACAACACGAAAACTTGTTTGGACTGTTACCCTCAAGGCGACATTTTATTTTGTTGCGTATCTGCTCTTAAATGGACTAAAAGCACTGACAAATAAAATCTACACATTACGTATAACCAGCCGTGCGTCTTTTATCGATTCTCAGTGCTTCTTCTTTCGTGTACTAACCTAGTAGAACTCATAAGCCCACTTTAGACTCGTTGATTAAGGGGTAAAGGGCTCTCACAATGTCTTCACAATATCTGCATCTATCATTCCATGATTGTTCTGGAGATATTGCATATCAGGATCCGTTTTCGTAACTTTTGGTTAAAATTATAAGGCCGGATTTGTACTCAAGCGTGTATCACCCACATTATACAAGCCTAACAGCACTTTTTTGCGTATTTATTTTTTCATAAACACACCAGTGACTCATCGTTGGGTGAGTCTTGCATATATATATATATATATATATATATATATATATATATATATATATATATATATAAGTGTGTGTGTGTCTGTCTGTGTGTATATGTGTGTGTGTGGTATATCCTGGTGTTGGTCTATATTAACTGGTATCATGGGAAAGTTCTCATCATCCCTTGGCGGGAGACAGACTTGTATGCCGCGTGATTCCTGTGCATTTGTATTGCTGTCCACCATGCTGGGATGAGTAGATGGGTGGGGATTTGGTAGTGGTGAAGAACTGAGCTGTTACACACACACAAAAACACAAGTATCACATACTTATCCACCCAAGCGAGCAAGCAAACCCCTAAACAAAATATGTTTCATAATATGGGAAACAAGTTTCCGTTCTTATTCTTTGACATGGCGTTTGTCTTTCATCGTGTCACCTTGTGAGTATGCAGCGGGCCCTTTCCCAACTTGCGTTAAACACCGACGAGATGGAAAATCGAATGCAACGTGTAGTAATCATTTGCCAGTCGGTGGAAAGCTTGGACGAGAGTCGCATTGTAAATTTACACATATCCATTGCATCGGAAGCATGGTTAGCGGCTCGGATTGAGGAGCCAGAGAGCCGAGTTCAAATTCCAGTCGATTTCAGCGCATTCACTTCCGTGCTAATAGCCTTGCGAAAGGTATACGCCCATTTATTGTTCCCAATTATGGGTAAATAGCAAGACAGATTGGGTCCTATAGCTTTGATTGGCAACCAGTCTACGAGAAGACAAACTGAATTCAAAACTGGCCTAGAGAGGGCTGGGACCCGTCGGGCTATCTTGCCCAAGATAAACCACTTCTATTACGGCTGCAGTACATATGGTGCCCCTACGAGCCCCGATGGGTTTTGGGACTCATGATGATGATTGCAGGACTCAATAACTTCTTTCACTGTCCCGCCAAACATCCATTGGGTAGGCTTCTTGAAAGGCTATATTGTTTGCATGCTTCGTGGATAATTTTTCCCTTGGAAGCCAGTTCCATTTTTAGCACTGAGGACTCGTTGCTTGACAAGGAGAAACGTTATAAGTTAATATCATTATTCAGTGCTGGACTATGCTTAAAAATTTTGGTTGCCAGGAGACAAAGAAGGCCCACCCACAAATAGAATTCCATCATTTAATTTTCATAATAAATAAATAAAATAAAATAATCGTCGTCGGCATCCGTCCGTCTCGGGAGACGATGAAGTAGCGCTTAGTCCTTTTTTTTTTTTTTTTTTTTTTTTAATTCTAGGCGATGGAGTTACATCACCTCTGGTGACTGTGTAGTCCCAACTCTGGAGCGACAGTCTCTCAGGCACTTGGCGCAGATGAAACTGAATGACATGAAAACTTGGGCTGTCCTTGCTTTTCTCCTGGCTCTCTTTGCAGATCTTCCCCCGCAGCTTCTGCAATCGTGACGCCGTCACTGATTGTGGCTCTCCAAAGCTGGTGATCGTCATCCGCGGCCTCCCAGGTGTTTGGGTCGATGTCAGCCAGCTTCATGTCCCGTTTGCAGACATCCTTGAAGCGGAGCTGAGATCTTCCAGTTGGACGGGAGCCCCCACACAGACTCTTGTGTTTAACCTCTTCTGACTGGCGTAAGTTGTCCAGGACTCGCTGCCACACAGAAGGGTGCTGAGGACGCAGGCCCGGTAGACTTGTAGTTCTCCGTCAGCTGGCTGTTGTTCCAGACGCACTTGTTTAGCTTTCCCTATCCTGGAGCTGATCTCGGTGTCCAGGGAGAGGGAGCTGGAGATGATCGACCCGGAGTAGTTGAAGAAGTCCACCACCATGAGTTGCGTGCCCTTGATGGCAACGTCCGGAGAGGAGGCGGTGTCTTGTGTCAGGATGTTGGTCTTTTTGAGGCTGATGGTCAAGCCGAATTCCTTGCAGGCATGGGCCAGGCGGCTGACTAATTCTTGCAGACCGTCCTCCGTGTGGGACGTCAGCGCAGCGTCGTCGGCAAACAGCAATTCACGAATGAGGACCTCACGGACTTTGGTCTTAGTGCGCAGTCGGGCGATGTTGTAGAGTTTGCCGTCTGCTCTAGTGCGGATGTAGATGCCCTCCGTGCAGTCGCAGAAGTCGTACCGGAGAAGCATGGAGAAGAAGATCCAAAAGAGTGTCGGCACGACGAAGCAGCCCTGTTTTACGCCGCTGCTCACAGGGAAGGCGTTAGATGCTCCGCCGTTGTAGCAGACTGTGCTGTACACACGAGAGGCGAGGCTCTATAGGCGTGGCAAGATGACGCGGGCAAAGACCTTTCCCACGACGGTGAAGAGGGAAATGCCGCGGTAGTTATTGCAGTCGCTGAGGTCACCTTTATTCTTATAGGTGGTGGCAATGTTGGCATCTCGCATGTCCCGGGGGACGTGGCCCTTCTAGCACAAGCACAGGAGCTCGTGCAGATGCTGCAGCAGAGCCGGCTTGCCAATCTTCAGAACCTTCGATGGGATCCCGTCCCTCCCATCTCCCCGCCCCCGCAGGAGAGACAGTCGATGGCTTTTCCGAGTTCCTCCGCAGAGGGCGGGGCATCCAACTCCTCCATGACTAGGAGACTAGGAAAGACATCCATGGCGGCATCACCGTCTTGGTTGCATACAGCTCCAGATAGTGCTCCACCCAGGGCTCCAGCTGCTTGCCCCGGTCTGTAATGACCTCTCCTGCCTTGGACTTCAGCGGAGCCGTCTTGATGGGAGTAAGGCCGGTGGCGGTTTTGATGCCGGCGTACATGCCTCTTGCGTCTCTACTGTCGGCAGCCGTCTGGATCCTGCTTCACAGGTTTAGCCAGTAGTCGTTGGTGCAGCGGCGTTCAGTCTGTTGGGCCTTGCTGCGAGCAGCTCTGAGGGCATCGCGGGTATTGACGCAAGGGTTATGTTTGTAGGCCAGAAGTGCTTGTCTCTTGGCTTTAGATGCCGGCTGCATCTCATCACAGTGAGTGCCATCTACTGCACTGAAGGATGTGTCGACCTTCGAGCTAAAGGTGGTTTGGAAGCGGCGAGAGCTCTCAGGGTCATTGGAGCGACAGGTGTTGATGCGAGGGAGGCGGTGTATTTTTTGGAGCGGTGTATTTTCTTGGATGTCAATCTCACTTTGCAGCTTACTAGGGAGTGGTCCGTGTCGCAGTCTGCGCTGTGGAAACTCCGAGTGTGAAGAACGCTCCTTAGGTCTGCCCGCCTGGTGATGACAAGATCGAGCTGGTGCCAGTGTCGAGAACGGGGGTGTCTCCAAGAGACTTTGTGGCGTTCTTTGCACTTGAAGTAGGTATTCGTCACGCATAGTCCTTGGTGGCAGCACATTTCCAGCAGCCGTTATTCATTCTCATTCATCTTGCCTATGCCCTGACGACCGAGTCAAGAGGGCCAAGTGTCACACTCGGCTTCCACTCTGGCATTGAAGTCTCCCAATTGATATAATCCTTCAGTATTGGGGTTCATGGATATCGTCTCATCCAGAGTCTCATAAAACTGGTCCCTGACCTCTGGGGTGGCGCAGAGCGTTGGCGCGTAGATGTAGAGGACGTTGGCGAAACCCGTAGATGTTAAGAGGCGCAGTGCTAGGATTCTCGCAGATCCGCCAGTTGGTGGTACAATGGCTGGTATTAGCGAGTTCTTCACGGCGAAGCCTACGCCGTGTTGCCTTGGGTCATCCCGAGGAAGGCCATGCTAGAAGATGGTATAGTTGGCCTCTCTGATGGAACCGCTGTCAGCCAGACGAGTCTCTTGCAGGCATGCGATGTCAGTGCCCAGTCTTGAGAGTTCCCTGTCCATGACCGCGGTCATTCGAGCATCGTCGATCTGTTGGATGTTATCTGCGAGTCCAGGGCGCATAGTCCGGGCGTTCCAGCTAGCAAACCGAAGAGCTGGAGTCTTCGTGTTTCTTTCTTTCCTGACTGGTACGGGATTTACAGCTTGCTTGTCAGGAGAATCAGTCCCTACACACACAGTAGAGCAGGCAAGCTGTGGCGGGACAGAACCTTACTGGCTGGGGGATGCCCAGCTTGAGGCGGGCGGTAGCTGTCCAGTGAGACGCGATGATCTCTCCCACCGACGGAGGTGACTCCAGTCGCCCGTAACCTACGGCAATCGGGTTGGGCTTTTAACCGGTAACTCTCACTTCCCGTGTTGTGCGACATCGCTAGAGTGTCCTCTCCAGTGCCCTACGAGCCCGGGAGGGATATATGGAGAACTAGGGCTTCCCGGACGTCTAGTTCACGCTCTCGGCCTTGCTAGCAGAGTCCAAAGAGAGGATAAACCAATACAGTTTGGTACCAGCGCGGGCGCAGGAGTTGCCGGAAGGTAGCACAGAGTGCCTTCCATCCGCCTTAGGGGCTCCACTCCGGATTTGTGTAGGGTTTACTCCTTAGCCTTTCCTTCTCCCGAAGATTTCCACAAGGCAGTGGAGCTATTTAACCCATAGCTGGGGGTTGGTTCATGGGCACCAGGGCATGTCCACACACCGGTGGGCCTACAAGCCGCATGTTAAGGGGGGGAGCCAATTCCTCCTCTGTCCCCTGTAGTTTAGGCAGAGTCCGCAAGATGCCCAGTCGCCATGTGTCGCCACAAGAAGGTACTACATAGGGCTTGCTGATAGAGAGGCTACTGGCAGGGGAAGATTTACGCACTCGGCTCCCCTTTTCGCATTTCTGCTAACCAGCGGCGGTAACTGAAAGCGAGAAGTGACAAGCACTACCACTACAGACTACCACACTAGACGCATCACAACAGCCGTTTAGACACACAACATAAAAAAATACATATGGAAAAAAGGGTACAGTTAACATTTTGGGGGAAAATGTGTATTTCTCAGTAATTACAATGTACAAGTACTGTATATATCATTACTGGTAGTAGATACTAAATGTAAATACAGACTGTTGTAGACGAATTTTTTATTTATTTTTTTAAATTTTAAGTAATTGGTTAACATTTTTAAATTGTTTACTGCACAATTTATACATTAACAGATAGTTTGAAAGCACAATAGAGCATTGCATGTCGTCCACTATATTAAGAGCAATCGTCTGTGTTCACTAGATAATTGTTCGAATCTGCCAATAATTGCTTCTGCATCCAATTCATCTAACAATTCCTTTTCAATGGATAGCAACACGTATGATTCCAAATCCTCCTAAGTCAGCGAACTTATTACCCTTGTCCTTATGATATTTAGCTTTGAAAATGTCCTCTCACATTTTACTTGGGTAACTGATAGTGTGCAGATTGTGGGTTACCTCACCTGGCATCGCCAAACGCCCATTAGGTGGCGCTGTTTATAAAAAAAACATTTCATTCCATTTCCTCTTTTTTTCCCTCTTGCTCCAAAATGTAGTAGGACGTAGACAAAGGTGTCCCTGGTCGATTGAACTCTCACACACGCTCACATATTCATGTATCACGCATACACACAAACAAGCACATTCTTAATAGCTAAGTTTTTAATGTTTTTCCTTTCCTTTCAATGGTATATTCATTAATATAATTTCTTTGTGTTTATATATTGTTCTTTGTTTTAAATTCTATGTTTTCTTTTTCTTTTTCTTTTACCCAAATACACATGATGTCCGCCGAATATGGTTTTCGGGAGAAATGTACCAGAAACTACTAAGTGTTTAGTGAAAAAAGACCACACCTCGCAAGAAAAGTAGGTGAGTCCCTGTAAGAAATTTAAGCCGCTTGAGCGTGCATTGTATGCTTTGTGTTGGGCTCTTGCTTAAACTTTTAAATTTCAAAAACATTTTGGTACATTTCGATTTGTGTGAAAATATCTGGGTTTGGTTTTTATTCGGAACCATTCAAAAGATTTCTCTCTAAATTTCGAGAAGTAAATCTGGAGCCTATCTTGGTGAATAAAAGGAAAACCAGGAATTGAATTCGAGAAGTCTGTAGCGGACCGTGTCGGCGATGAGTATGTAAAACACACGTGGGTAGAAATTCCTGCTAGCCGGTCCAACTACATGAGAAAGTTGGACTTTAATTAAGTCCAAAGAAGACAAGGAAAAACAAACACAAGACAGATAAATACATGTAAACAAATATATGTATTAATAACAAGTTACAAGTTACATGGACAGAGTGCGTGTGGTGAATATTATATGTGTGTGTTGTGGTGGATGTTTGTACGTACGTGTATTGTTCTTAGCGTGTTCCCAGCATTTGGGAAACGCTGTATCCGTGAGCGTTCACATCTGTGAGGTGGTATAAGGCCGAAGCCCGAGGGAAAGAAGAAGAGGCGAAGGATCACCCAGTATTTATAGCCAGAGGAGAGAGACCCCTGTGAAGGGTTAAGGAGCTAAGGGGGAGCTAACTCCGAGAAGTCAATGAACAGCTGCTGCATGAACCCAGGTCGGCCCGTTCAAGGAAAAAAAGACGACCACCAGACGAGAATCGAAAAGAACATTAAAGTCGCTCCCACATCAAGGAAAATTCTTCGGCTGGTGTGATTGTTCTGTTCTTCGCCGCTACCACGAACTTTGCTTTGCTTCGAACATTGTACCTATTCTTTGGAAATTGTTCTGAGAAGAATGTTTCCCCTTTCTTCATTTATTTTTATGTTGTTTAACTTTTTTGAGAACCTTATGCAGCATTGTAATTTTTATTGTAAGAGTAAAAAGAGGCATATTTTATTTGCAGTGATAATTTGTACATACATTGGCCATCATTTGGCACACAAGCAATTTATGTAATTTTTTCATTTCTTTTAAAGTTTTTATTCCTTTTTATTACTAAAATAGTTGCTTGTTTCTTTATTGCATTTTTATTTGATGTAGGGTCGGCGGCACTCCACTAGGGACCACTTGAATGAAAAATGATTAAACCAAACTGGGCTATTATTGTACACTAGTAAATCATACTTATTATAAAACCCAGGTTGTGTGTGTGTGTGTGTGTGTTCGTTTATATATTGGATTGGATTTCCTACATTTTTCAACCGATTTCAACTAAACTTCACATGACTACGTAAAATTTCCATGCAGTGGTTCTGACAGCGCCAAATATTGGAAAAACACAATTGTTTTTGCATGAAATCAATTTGAAAACCCGATTAAGAGGCATCGCTGTCACGAGAATGAAAGGGGGACAACTCATATCGAGTTATACTTATAAAACCCAGGTTGTTTGTGTGTGTGTGTGTCTGTGTTCGTTTATATATGGGATCGGATTTCCTACATTTTTCAACCGATTTCAACAAAACTTCACTTTTTTGGCAGGTAGTGTTTCTTTTTGTTTTGCACACCTTTTTACTTTATTTTTACATTCAGAATGTTTTAAAAATTCCATTTACAAGACAATTGTTTCTAATAAAATTCTATTCAATCGGTAGACTTGTGGAATCTCCCACAACACAACCAGCCTTACCTCTTTGCAGGAAATGCACTTTTCCTATCTTGTAAGCCAAATTCTACTTTCATACGATATAACAAGTAATCATTGGTCAATCACCTCCAATTTGGCTTGCTGATTGGTCAGTTCCAACCAATCAAACCGCCTGCACGCGACCAATCTGTTTTCCCGCTCATATGCTGGGAGCCACTCAGCCATTATAAAAACCGAACACGTGTGAATTTTCGAGTAGTAGTTACCAAGTGCCAAGATGTAACCTTCACCGACTCCTGTCTTAGTCATTGCTGACCAGACGTTAAAGACAATTACCAACTTTAGAAAGTCAGACCTCCACACCTAGAGAGATGCCCATCAACTCCACGCCAGTCAAAACTCTGACTTTGCCGCGTAAAAATATTCTCTGACTCAGCAACCTTCGGGCACACTCTATCTCTCTCTAGAACATTTCTCAAACTTCACTTACTATACTTTCAAAGTGATATTTCTCACTACATAACAAGTATCATTAACTAACAATCTATTTTTCTCAAGCAGATAAAGGTACGCAACTTTGAACCACTTTGAATATTTGTATAAACACACTTACGTACATACACTGACGATTCAACCTCAACACCGAGCATTTTTGTACGTGATCAAACAGTTTAATTCTGTGAACAAATCTAATCAATACCTGCAAACGCACCCAAACATTCGCAATAACACAATACACAATTAAATACACTAATCTATTTATCCATCAAATTTTAAACCCACAGTATATTATATTGTATATAATTTGATGTTATTGTTATGCATTCAACTTTTGTCTTGTTTTCAACTTTATTTGCATGATTTGTTCCAAGTATTTGTTCTAAATAATTGTTGTGGACGAATGTTGTAGAACACGGCCTCGAAATTCCTTCTGATCAATTTAAACACAATCACCAGTCCGCAACAGACTCATAACGATTGAAATGAAAACAATGTTTTTGTTTGAGTTTGGGTTTGACCAATTCGTAACCCCTCCCCTATCTCTTACTGTTACATCCCCGAACAACGCCGGGCTCTACTGCTAGTCAACACTAATTCCGGTATATTCGGTCCCAGGCCCATACCGATTTATCGGTTTGTCCGGATAACAGAAGCTACATAATAACAATTCAATAATGCACCTCTGACCCACTATGGGATTTTTTATAAGTAAAAAAAAAAAAAAAAAAAAACTACGAAAAAAGTGTATCGTAGTACAAATAAATGTTTGTGATAACGTTGATAAGGACAAGGCCAAAGCACACGACAAAGACAGACAACGCGACCCGAGTTTAAAAACAAGAGATACGTTAAATTTATTGAACACACAAAATGAAAGTAATTACACGAATTAAGTGCTTTGTGTGCCAATAATGGCCAATAACATGTATGTACAAATAAGAGAATATAGTGCAAAAGAATATACCTTTTTTACAATAAAGTATATAAAATTATACCAATTACAATAAAGGGTATACTGAAAACAATGTATGCTGTTTTACAATGAAAATAAACTATGCTGTGTGAAGTCCCCAGAAAGTCAACAACATTATAATAACAAATATAGAAAAAGGGAAAGGTAGAGTAGTATAAGTACCAAATATAGCGTCGATTCGATTCACTAAATGTAACAGAAACACCAAATATATAGGTACTACTACTATTTATATAAATGATACTTCCACGTACAGGATTCAAGTAATAATAACAACAACTCCAATTTGTTAACCAACAAATATGTATTGAATAAAATACAACAACAAGCATGAAATAGAATCGTATTCACAATGTAGATTAAAGAGAAGGAAGTTCTTTTCCTTTGACTGTAGACTGAGTGTAATCAACCATTTGAAGAAAGTTCTCTTATGAGATAAATGTTCCGAAATAATTGTTAGAGCAACGTTTGCATGTGAAGAATGAATAACACCAAAAATACAATTACTTGAAATGTGTTGTGAATAAACTGGTTTGAATCAACAAAGTTCTGGTTGATTGTGCTTGGTGAAAGTTACAGAGAGAAAATGTAAGTTTGTAGTTACGAAATTCTGTGTCTGTGTGTATGTTAAAGTGTGATGAGCAAGATCGTGGATTTGTGTTGACGGCTCGGATCTTACTGGCGACTTGCGAAAAGATCCCTATTTAAGGAAAAGAGGTAGGCTCCCACGGAACCACAGGAAAACTTGATCTTACATTAAAAATATGTGATTGGTTAAAAATTAACCATTCACTAGACACGTACTAAACAGAATAGGTAAGTATGCTCAGAACCAATAGATTCAAAGGAACGACTGCGATGGCTAAGTTGTTCTATACAAAAGTAGTAGTAATTTATTAGCCAATCGGAGGCGAATAAAATAACTTGGAGTGTATGTGGATGTGAAAAACATAACAACCGCTATACTAGCACTTTTCTGAACGCTTTTCAAGTAGTAGGTGCATAATGTCCGTAGAGACCTTTCTTGATAACAGTGAAGAAAGGGTTTCACACCAGTCGATGAAATTTACTTAGATGAGGGAGCGGATTTGATTTTCTTTCAGTCCTCGCCTGGCGCTATCAAATTGACCAGCATGACTTGGATTCAATCAGCAGCTTAGGTAGACACCTGAATGGGATTGACCTGCCTCTCCTTGTTGTCTCTTGTCTCTTTTTCCTTGGCATTTACCTGAGACCTCCCCACAAGGCGGGATGTGGTACAAGGCCGGTTTTTAACGTGGGACTTTCTGAGCGCGTACGCTCGGGCAAAAATTCCCCGTAGACCCCGCATAGACGGGGTCGAGCAGCTGTCTACTGCCCCCTCTTCTTCCCTATTTACCAACCTCCCCACAAGGCAGGATGTGGCACAATGCCAGTTTTTAACGTTGGGCGTCCTGAGCCCGTCCCCGCTTCCTCTGTCCAATTCAATTCAGTTCCTTTCTTTTATACACCAAGATCGGTCCCAGATTGTGTCTCGGGGCTTGGAGCGAAGCCCTCTGATTGGTGCATAAATAAATCACACACCGCTATTTTTCCACAAATCGGAAGGACGCAAAATATATTTGTGAAATTCAATGTTTTTTTTAAGCTAGAGCTTAAAACAGTGTCTGTTTTCTTTCAGAAAAGCAGACGATATATGCTCAATCAGCTTAAATCTCTTACCACTAATTACACATCTGGTATCTCTATTTTTGTTAGCGATAGTTAAGTGATCGAGCACCACAAACGACCGCTGTAACCGCTCGAAGAATTCGTCTGGCAATCGAATGAAATTAAAATGCTTGCATAATTTTGTCTGGTTAAAAAGAGGAGCGGGAGAGTAGCTCGCCGGAAGATCGGTGTTATAGGTGCATGTTTTATGCTTTTCCTAATTAATTAAAATAAAAGATACAATATTTAAGTTTGATTTTTTTCTTTTGTTTTCTTCCAACCTATTTTCTTTCATCAAGCCATTACATTAAAATATTTAAAAAAGAGTCTTTTTTCATGCTTTGATGAAAAGAAAATATGTTTGGAATTCAATGCAACCCAAGAGAATTGTACTAAATTCCTTTTTCACCCACTTGTTAAAAAATAACAAAAAACGAAAATGTATTCATATATGTTATTTAAACTTGAATAAAAAGCCTGAAAGAATAATTTAGAATTACTGCGCAAATTATATTCCATCTTTTTCTTTTTTTACTAACTTTATTAAAGCATTAAATCAAAGTAAAACAAATAATAAGGCTACTGCCTGCTTGGAATCTTCCAGTTTCTGCTTATCTAATACAACAGATGAGTCCATTTAAAATAAGCGGGTTGGTCAGGGTGTGTTAGTTTCACTATCGTTCAATGGCTGACGAGAACACTTGAGGCTTGCATTGTTGAGGTCGATAAAAATTCTTAAGATTGATTATCGATTAATTAGTGTTTTTATTCGGATATAACGAACGAACGAGAGACAAACAGGGACCACGGGAGGTGTTAATTACGAAAAATTGGGTAGAAAACAGCGAGAACACCGGAAAGAAGTAAGTGTAGCATTTGTTTTCTAAATACAAAATTTATTTACTGCTACTACTTGAATGAAGCACAATCATTTAACGCTATTTTTTTTTTATTTGTTACCCTAAAAAAGGTTTTTTCGGTTTTCTTTCTCAAGAAAAAGTGAAAGCACAATAGCATTGACTTTTTGATCCTAAAAAAATAGATTTCTTAAAAACAAAATACATATTTTAAATTTTAACGTTTGTTTTCTTATCTCTGAAAATGCGTAATTTTTTTTACTGTTTTTATTTTAATCACACGCCCTTTCGAAAATGGTAGACCCTAGGGGAAAAAAAATCTCACGTTTCCTCGGTATTTCCTATTTTGAGGACGCTAAGTATTTTTTTAAAGACTTTCCCTGTGAGGTATTGCACCATTTAAAAAACCCCGATGTATTTCTGTGTAGTGTAAATAAATGAACTAGAAAGAAAAGTGATAATGATTTTTTTAAATTTATTAAAAAAAAATTGTTGGTTAATCTCGTAGGAAACAGGCCCATAAATTTTTGTAAGCTGGGTTAGGGTTTGCTCATCTGAAACTATTTTGATTTGTTTTTTTTTCTTTTATCGAAACGAGTAGTGTAGTTTAGGAGTAAGCGAGAAAAATAAAACACTTGAACAGTTCTGTTGTTTAACGTGCCAAATGTAGTTTGCAGTTTGCTGTGTGCATTCACCGTGAATAAAAAGTAAAACCTACTGAACTGACAGGAGGTGGACCCGCGGGTGGCAGGTAAGATGATCAGGTTTGATTCTGTGATTTGTTTATTGTAAATAAAATAAAAAATGCTACAAGACCCCCCCCTCGCTCCTCCACGGCAACCCACAACCTTGGTTAACAATACAAATGTAATTTCTCGGGATTTCTGTATTTTCCTTTACAGTGTACACTACTTGCGTCAAACTAAACTAGAAAGCTTTTTTTTTTTTCCTTGCTTTTGTTTGAAATTTGATAGGCTGAAACCACGATTTCCCTGCATAGCTTTAACTCACTACAGTAAGTCCTACTTTCTTTAGTAAAAAAAAACAAACAAATCCGCACTACTTAAATAGGCTGGTCCACTTATAAAAAATAGGGAATTTTTTTTTCGGGGGGGGGGGATACTTTTTGTAGGTTAGCATTTAGTTTCTTCTTTAGACTGTGACACTTTTTTGTTTTCAGTTTTCAGAATCGTAAAATATTTATTTGTTATCGATTTAGAAGAGGGGGGTTCTGTTTAGTTTACACTGAGTGTCAAATCGATCCTTGACTTTTAGTTTTAACAGAGTTATTGGACTTAATAATTGTTTTTTTGGGGTACGTAATCTGATTTATTTTTGACACGGAGGATTTCAAGAAAATTTATTTTTAACAAACGGATCTATATTCAATTTTAATTAAAGAATACAAATGTACCGCCGTATGTATCCATTTTTTATTCTTCTTCTTAATTTAAAATAAATTTTTAAACCAAATGTTTCTGTATGTGCTTCTGAAAAAATCCCATACAAAAAATAAAAGTTTAACTTAAAAATCGTGTTACAAAAAATTAAAAGGTTAAAAAATCAGATGATTAAAAAAAATATATGCAAATTAAATATCAATGATGATAGCAAAATTTCAAACTTGACTTTTATAAAATTAAACAGCTAGGTGAATTAAAAAAGGCCAACAATTCTGTAAAATTCATGGATCGATTTGATATTGTGTCAATAAACAAAACAGGACCCCCTCACTTTTAAATCAATAACAAATTAATATTTTTCGAAATCTAAAGAATGCTAATCTACAAAAATTACTACCCCGCCAAAATTTTACTACTTTTTATGAGTGGACCAGTATTTTTAATGCCGGAAAAAAAAATTGGCGTGTTTACATACAATCAGAAACAATCACTTTTCTTTTCTTTTTTTTCACAAGCACTCCAGGTCATGAATATAAAAGAAAAAATCATTTTATTATTATTAAATTTTATAAAAGTTCACAGGGGGTCCTAGTTTGCTATGCAAATTCATTCATTTTAAATTTCTCTCTCTATGGAAGCCAAAATAAAATATGCTTATACCAAATGATTTCTTAAAAAAAATGTTGACATTATGGAGTTCTTTTTTCATATATTTCTAGCAATTAAGAACTCTATTACAAATTAAAAAAAATAATTTTAAGAATTCATATTGTATGGGCATAATTTATTTGTCTTCTGTGATGGTGGGGTAATTTACAATTAATTTACATAGCAAACAAAACTCCCAAATAACTTTTATAAAATTAAATAAAAATATTTTTATTTACATCATTTTGGGGTGTTTAATTTAGAGAAATGTGAAAAAAGTCTTTTTTAAAAAACAATTATTTCTGATCACATTGTACAACTCTGCAATTTTTTTTTTTTTTTTTTTTTTTATTGTTGATTTGGTGAATTTCTTAACATTTCAAAAACAGTTAAAGATTTATTCATTGTAAAAGTGAGCTAACTTTGCATAAACACACACACACACACACACACACACACACACACACACACACACACACACACACACACACATATATATATATAATAGGATAGAAATTCAAAATGACCTCATTCAAATAGCTATTTCAACCCACAAGACTTGTAGGCCTTGTCAACTGAGGGTTGTGAAGAAATAAAATGGGAGAAAAAAAAGGAATGCTGAAAAGTGTTTAGCCTAACCCACTTTCTAAAATCTGACCAAATATATTTTGGGTTGGTCAGGAATTTTTTCAAAACCCAATCTTACATATATATATATATGTACTTTTTTTTTTTTTTATTGTTGTATCTGAAAGTCCCCTCTCTCAAGCTAAAATAATAAATGACCTAAACTTGTTCAAGAGGACCTCAAAAGTGTTTTTTTTTCTTTCCTGATGCTGCCTTAAATGTTGAGTTCTTCTTTTCTTTTTTTACATCAAAAAAAGAGAGGAGTTTTTCACTTTTCACCTGGATTTTCTTCTGGAAACTGATGGTTTGCTCACAGCTGAAAAGGAAAGATAAAAAAAAAATGGCAATTCTTTAGTTTAAGTGGTTTTTACAGATGCGTAACGAAAAAGATACCCACTCCTTATTTGAAGGAAACTTTTACTATACAAAATAGATTATTTCTGAAAATGTGTGGTGAGAAAACATTTACTAACTTTATGACATTTGGATTTTGTATTCATTTTGTAGTGAAATTCAAATTAATGAAGGATTGGTTTGGTGACTGGCTGTTACTATGTTGATAAGTAATCTCTCTTCATGAGATATGTCACTTGTAACTGTTGGGGTGTGTCATTATGTGCTAATGTATTAGCCAAACTTTTTCTTTTACTCTGCTCTTTTATGCATTCATGTTTCTCATGTCTATTATAAGGATTTGATTTATATTTGTTATGTTCAATGCAGCAAAAATGGCACATTATAGGGCAATATTTGTTCAGGCAATATCATTAAAATGCTATTAATGGAACAGAAAAGCAATTTCAACTTCAATTTACAACTTAAAAATTTGAGATCTCTGTTCATGCTCACACTGAGAATAAAGATATAATTTTTTTTTGTTTGTTCCAAAGGTTGACAATAAAATTAGAAAAGTTAAAGAAGTGAAAAGATTACTAATAGTGTTTGTGAGTGTGTGTTTTCAATATCTATACTCTCTCTGATAATAGTGATCCAAAGCTATCAAGAAAATCAAATTAACATTAAAAGAGAAAAAGAAATAAGATGGCTAATTGCTGTATAAAATAATGATATCCATGAAATTATACCATTTTATCTTACCAGTAATCTGATGAGATGCATTGTTACACATTGAAACACAATTGCAATCGTGTACTGATTTTTACGTGTTTTCGGTATAATATCCTAAAATATATACTTGTGCAATGTTTATTTTAAATACAGCTGTATTTTTTGGCTACAGTAAATGAATATATAGTCTGGCTAATGGCAACTTTATATCTCGTGTATGATGTGACCCCCTTAAAATTAAAAAATAAGGTCTTCGAAAGTCACGTGATACACAGGTTTTTATGTGTGTGTGTATATATATATATATATATATATATATATATATAAATTAGCTTATATTTCAGAGCAATTAGAATTTGTAGTACTCATTATTTACATGATAAAGAGAAATACATTGAAAATATTTTTAATCTCCTCCAATATCCTAATTATTTCATATACAATGCTAGGAGGAAACGTCATCAAATTAATCACAACCAGCCTAGAAACTAAGAAGTACTTACTATTTAAAAATATGCTTCCTGACAATAATTGAACATCTATTCCCTTTTTCTATCAGAGAAACTTTGCTTCATTATGGTTTCCTGTAGCCTAATTGGTAGGGCACACTTTGACTAAAGGAGTGGTTTCCCTGATGGAAAAAAAGGAATAAAGCTTCCATTCCCATTGGAAAGTATATTTTTTATGTTAGGACTTTTCATTCACTAGGCTTGTTGGCATTAATTTCATTATTTAAAATGGCAGTGATGTGAGCTCAAGTACATTTACTAACTAAAAATAATATTTGTAACAATATGAAATAATGTCAGATTAAAAAAAAATTATTTAAAAATTATTCACTGTATTTTTGTTTGACTATGAAGCAATTTGGTAATAAGAGAAAGATTTTATAAATTTTAACTGACAACATACTGGATGCTCAGTCAATAAATCTCAAATGTTTCCTTATAAGGAAATGGTTAATTTTACCTTTATATGGCAGTAAATTCTGGACATTTTTCTCACAGCTGAAAAAGAGACTGGGAGCAAAAGAGATTTGTGGTTCTAATAATGAAGGCAAAGAAAAAAAATACAAAAAAAAATACAACGAGCATGTGATGGATGAGAAAGATTTAGATAGAATAGGAAGCCATGACAGCTGAAATCTTTGCCATAGGTAATGAGGAAATAGACTTGGAGAACTTAAAACTCAGAGGGCACATTGAAGGCAAGGGAAGAGAAAACGGTGAGTAATCTATTTGACAAGTTTCAGGAAATGGA